TACCAAAGTTTCATCCTCATAATAATTGATTTATTTCCTTATTGGAGTATTTTTTTCATTTCTAATATCAAATCGCTAGCTACCTTTACGTCCAATTAATTTACCGCGTGCACTTTAGCATTTTCCACTTCGTGAGGAATTCAGACCCAGTCTTCACCTGAGCACGCTAGAAAGATTAGACAAATCTGGCTAAAGGGCTGTAGGGAGGATATCTGGTTAGCTGTAATTGCCTGGCTAATTGCTAAGCCGATTAGGCACAAATCTTGGATTAAGATTCCGGAATTTTAAAATATACTTATTCGAAAATGGACCCATACAATTGTACACATGCGAATTCGTATATATATCAGCAATGGGCTGTTTTGATTTCGTTGGTTCCTTGAGAGAAACAGTTAATGCATTGACGGCAATTGATATTAGTACAAATGACGCTTGGTCATTTGTACTAACACCAACGCATGGATATAAAAAAAACCACAGACGCACAAATGTCTCACAGAATAAAAACAAATATTTAAAACATGAGAATAAATACATTCATCACGATGGATTAAAATCTAACACAGATGTGGTCATGCGTGAGATTTTTTTGAATTAGAAAGGAAGAAAATATGTACACATATCTAACAGAAATGTTCATTATCACAACTAGCTAATCTTCATAAAGCACGCGGTAAGTTTAAGTTTTATTAAACTGCATATCACTAATTAGACTTCTTCCTATATGTGACCCGCTCTGCAAAAATGAGTCTGATGTCGCATAATTTGAATTCAAGCTTTTGCCATTTTGAAATGGAAACAGTGAAAATTTGATAAAAATTTTGATTTTTGTTTTTGTTTTATTTTGGTTGTTTGATAGTTTTAGTTTAAATGTCATACAAAGAATTTTAAACATTGTACGAAAAAAAATAACAAAGTGAGGAGTTTTGGTGCTTTTCGTGGTTAGTTACAGTATATTTGTCATTTTTCAAACCCTTTTTTTTCTTTTTATTTTGGCAGAGCGGGTCAATTATGGTATAGGAAACATTAAAATCCCAGGTGGGTTCATTAGAGTACCCGGCCCAGCGACAACGCAATCATCAATGCATTCACTATACAATCGAAATTAAAATCTCCTGGGAATAAAACACACCAAAACAATAAAAGTCCTGCTCCCCGCTGAGAGAGCCAATTCCAAGATCCCCAAATGAGGATCCAAAAGAGAGCTGACGCCAGAGCCTTGAAGAAATCCAGATGAAACATTGCATCGTCTTATTATTCAAATAGATTATTCTCACCTGAGGCGCAGACTTAAAGAAGATGGGCCTTTAAGACGCGCGGCTCTCATTTCCTCTTATGCCAATTAGATGCTGGCGGCACCCTCGGTGTTTAGTAGTTTACTCCAGTGGCCGGTAGGGTTCTTAATTGGAATTACAATCTCAGTTTTTGTCTCAAATGGCTTAAGCAAAATTTTTTGTACTGCATCTCAACAGAAATAGTTATTGAAATAGTTACAGTGTGGTAACCCATCTACAGGGTGAGTAAAACAACTGCAACGATGCAAAGGAGCCATCTTATTTTTTTTCAAAACCAAGTTGATTTTTAAAACTTTTTAAATTTTGTAAGAATAACATTTTCGTTAGTAACCTTGTTTCAAAAAAGAAAGAAAAGAAAGTTGATTTTATTTACCGTTTGTCTTTTGTGAAACTTTATACTGCGGTATCCAATTTGCGTTTTTGTCCAGGAGGCGTCGAAAAATTAAAGAAGAGCCGTTCATTCCATGAGCTATATAGATGAGACATGCATTGCCTTGCAGGGTTGTCAGTAAGAGCGCAGAGCTGCAATTGTGTAAAAAAAAAATACAGTAACTATGGGCTCCGTGCGCCAACAAAAATGGTGCCCTTTTACCTAACAACGACGTCCCATGGGTGGGAATTTAGCTGGTTGACGCGCACCGTTCCTTGTGTGTGACGCACGTACACCAGGGGATTCGTCGTGGCAAAATTGCAGTCGGGCAAGATGGCGTCTGTCGGTCACTCCCAACTGTACTTGCTTTGCCGGCGAGGGGGTACTTGTGAACGGAGCGGATAGCATATCCCAGAGAAAATTTGCATAAACATAAAGAAGTGAATTAACAGAAAAATTAAGCTTGAGCTAAGGATAAGTCAGTTCTTGTTGTCTATAATGTCTTTATTGTACCGTTTCCGCTCTTGTGCAAAATTCCGATCCCACGTTTTCAAAAAAAAAAAAAAGGTAAATAGGGTACCGCAGTAAAAAGGTTCACAAATGACAAACGGTAAATGCGATTAACTTCATTTCTCTTCAAACAAGATTACTAACGAATATGTCATTCTTACAAAATTAAAATAGTTCAAAACCTCAAATAGGTTTTGAAAAAAACAGTTTTGTTTACTCACCCTGCATTTTTGTTCAAATGTGTTGATGTTGACCTCAAGTGTTATAACAGGAGACCTTTAAAGGCAAAGTACAAAATATTCTGTAGGAATGTTGTCAGTTATTATACATGTATCATCTTCTTCTTCTTTTACCTCGCTTTAAGTATCCAATTTGGTACCCCAAAAAAGTCAGCCGTAAATCTTTGAGAGATTGTTACGAGTTACGGTAAAACCTTAATGAACCGTTGTGAAGTCACTGCCATTTTGTAAAATGATACAAGAAAAATGCTTGTTTTGGGATTGTTTCTCATCGTTGCTGACTCGTGAGTGCAGTGAAGACGGGTTGTTTACTGCGATGCAGTCTAGCGGGACTGTCGTAATCTGCCTCTTTATCTTTATTTCATCGCGTGCTGCAGGATCACAGCGGCCATATGTCTGCACTCAACGCGTAGCACGCTCGATTCGCTCAACACTATTTATGAATTTGTCTTTTGATCAAATTAGTACGTATCGTGTAACCTTTTTTATAATAGAGGCATAATATGACAGGTATGTTTTGTACTGACATTACGGCCTGCAATGCGCCCAGTTGGGCTACAAAACGCGTTTTAACGAAACGTTATTAAATGGGATGAGCACTTATAGTAAAAGTAAAATATCAACGTCAACACAACCATCCTTTACAAACTAGACGTTTTAGTGTTATTCTTGCGAGAACCATGCGAGAACGAATTTCGGAGGTTACAATTTCTTTCTCATTCAGTGCTAGTTGTGATTCCAGCCGCAAAGTGGTCTGCGGACGTGTAAGGAACAACATTTGTGTATTGGTGCTGTAATGTATTTTATGACACACACACACAACTTTAAAATACCATGAATAAACAATCTAAACATGAAACTTTCGAGGATTTCAGGCCCGTATTACCCTTTTAACTTGAAGTAGGTTACTTTTTGTATGTTTCATACAGGCAATCACTACACCAAGTTGTGTTTTGTACTCTAGGTATACCGATTATACTTAGGCCTGTGTGTTTAGGTGTTAAATAAGCATTAGCAATAAGAGATTGGTAATATTTCGATCAATTGGCTAAATTTTTAATGAAGATTGACCTTCGTGCGATTGCTTGATAGCATGCTAATTGGTGCGCTGCTACACAGTTAGGCATATGACAGAGCCAGTCTGCGAGTGGTGTATGACTGACTTGGTTTCATTGTATGATGCCTTCGCACCAAAATGCGCAGGAGATTTGGACCGATAGCCAAGATGGAGCAAGATATCCCACACTGAGCATTATCATTACAAATGTAATGGGCAGCTGATCAGCATAATGTCAATCTATCTGCCACGGGGTACTAGACCCGTGCCCTCCCGCGGTGTCATGTTTTGCTGACGTAGGTCCGGCCACTCTCTCGTCCGTTCTCCCTTCTGTTTTGTCAGCGCGCGCGTGATGTAACGAGAACACACTGCAGTATCCCTACGGTTATACTCTCTGGATTCCAGAATCGATTGTTTAAGAATAGTTCCCTTTTACAGGTGCTCGTGTCACCTGCTGATTAGGAGACTAGTTTGTCATCTTGAAAATTTCTCCAAAAGCGAGGAGAACTTTCCCTCTCTTTCCAAACCCCAGGCGTCCTATATGGATTAACTGCGTCTCCAATTTCCCAACACGAATGATTATGTATACTGTCATGTAGATTGGTATTGTAAAGTTATATGTGCATTATGCCTATATACTATACACCTCAAACAACAAAGATAAATTATGTTAGTCTTTAATGCTGTGTTGTGAAAAATCTTGTAAATTGATTTTTGAAAGTCCGTTATTTCAGTACATATAGAACTGAAACTGACGTTGGAATGCACTTGGTAATATTTGGATGTTGTGTTCTTTCATGGAGTTATCGTAGAGATGTGAAACTTGGAAGAAAATTAACCCCACAACAACGAAGAATCAGAACAGAATAACAAGATGATTGGCCACGCGGATCCCGATCCCCAGTGGACCATTATCGTGTTGTAGCCATCTTGATTTTTTCCCATTCAAATTAACATAACCAAAGCGAGGCTAGAAGGGAAGTGATAGTCTGGTTCCTTTTTGCAGAAAAACAATTATCATTCAATACTGTTATTGGATACAGGGAACATGACTGAAATGGTGGCAGCATGATAAAGGTCTACAGCAGTTGCAGCACCAAACAGTGTATATGCCGTTAACCACCCAAACCACTTCCCACAGCCGAAGGTCGTGAGCAATAATGTAGTCGATTTTTAAAACCAGATTTTCAATTCGAACTAACACAAATCAATGTAAACAGAATGCATGTATAAGAAGAGACTACATTGGTCCGCCCACAAAGTTGTTATTGAGCGTGTTCCAAGCAGACCCGTCCCGATCACACACTCACAAGTCATATAAAGTCTGTCATGCCCACAACTTAACAAAAAAAAGACAACCCCGTGTCTTGTGTACTGATCAAATACAATCGGAGCAACGTAACCAAGTCGCCTCCATTGCCGAGCACACCGAGAGAAAATATTTAACTTCTTCATCACGCGAAAAAAACCCCGTACCGATCGGTATACATGCAAGCGACAAGCCGCCGCATCACACAAAGCGAGCGAGCATGAGCGCGCAGAATAAAGACGGGCAACAGAATCGCGGAGTACCGGGCCGGGAAAGGAAAAACACATGCCTCGGATCGGACCTCGGGCCAAGAACGCCCCCGCGTTACATGTTTGTCCAACGCGTGCCTCGGCCCAAGTGCCCGTCAGGGATAGAAGCTAGCAAGCCGGGAGCTCTGTCCCTTCACCATACCTTTCTCGCAGCCTCTCTCTTCTTTAAGACGGTTTAGAAAGAAAAAAATACATCGATCGCCTGTGCAATATGCGATAATGATCATTATGAGACGAAAAGAAAGAGGGATTCCATAATAGACGACTTTTTTTTGGTTTGGGGGTCTGTTCTGTCATATTAGCCCCCTTAAAGGGAATATACAACATTTGCAAACATCAAAAAACAGAACTAGCAAGTTATTATGAAATACCTTACTGGACTGTCAGTGAATGGCAGTCTTAAACATCCTGTAAAATCATGGCACCTGGTGTGCTGTCATTTTCAAGAAAAATGGTATTTTTGTGTCGATTTCCAACGCTGGTTGGCCGACCATCGTTGGGAAAAAAACTGGCGTTTTTCAAATACTGCCCCCAATTTACAATATTTAATTAGTCCGCATTTTTTTCCCAATCGATTACACGCGTACGAACGGGTACAAGCCAGCTAGACTGGTTCCCTGACCTTACAATTCCACGATGTCTATGAATTGCTCCGTTTCATCTTAAGTTGGGTCAGGGAGCCACACTACAGGAATATGATTGTTTTTCTTGGTTTTGCAGCATATACGAACACAAAACTTCAAACACGTCAGGTGTAACAATTATTGGCTAAAAAATACTAACTCCCAAATCCTTCCATTTCTGAAAATTACAGCAAGAGCAAATATTGTAGAGGGTGAGTAAAAAAACCAGAAACCCAAATGTCGGGACCATTGTTTTAGTGAAGTTCTGCATGTAGCACTTTTAAAATCTAGTATATGAAAGCCTAATTCATAGGCTTTCGTTTAGTGGAAAAATCATTCAAATCACCCATGTACTTTTCAAGTAACGGAATTTTAAACACCATCGTCTGAAAGAACACTTACCCTTTTTTGGTGGTCCGAGGACAGAACTTGTAAGCAGTTATTGTATTTAAAATTCCGTAACTTAAAAAGTACATAAGTATGATTCTTATACTAAAAGAAAGCTTATGAATTGGGCTTTAATAGATTTTGAAAGTGCTCCATGCTGAACTTCACTAAAACAATGGTCCCAACATTTGAGTTTCTCTTTTTTTACTCAACCTGTATATTCCCTTTAATATCAGTGGCTTGGTGAATATCGTGGAAAGTAAAAACCTGAACGTCTTGTGAATTGAACGCAAAAAAGAAAAAAAATCTGGAGCTGTGATGCGCCGAGCTGGATCGATTTGTACCGTCTGTTTGCTCTCTCAACACAAGCGAAAAATGGAGAATTAATTTCGAATCGTCTGAAGGGGCAAACCACCTCCAGTCTTTAAAAGCACACGCGATGTTTATCACTCAGATCAGTTGGAATAATTGTGAAATGCGAAATGTGAACGTCTTGTGGTTGTAAATAAACATCATCAAGTTACTTATGATTTCTTTCAAATGGAAGGGATCATTACCTTTTTTGGTGCTTTTTTTTTTTAACCATATGTCAATTATGAACATGTTGCAGTGGGCACTTTGTGGTGAACTTTATTAAGCAAACGCAATTAACCACAGGTTTGACCATATGCTGAACATAACTAACTGCGTTTTGTAGCAACAGTGCTTGATTGATAACGCCAATTACAAAATAACGTGACAGGTGTTATAAATGCATTTTTTTCGAGAGCCAACTTGTTAGAGCCGTTGAGGTGGCAAGTGTGCTCAGCAAGGTTGGGTTACCAGCGAAATTGTCGTGGAACGTACATCGCTGATGACTGGTTCTCGTCTGATGTGCTTACACAATTTTGCCAAGCAAGATTTTCCGTTGAGTTTTCTTATACTATACCTCCATGAGATAAGGTTGCAGATCCCGCCACAAAAGTCTCGGCCTGGCGATATCCCTCTGATATTACGACACAAGCGTCTCGTCAGTACCGGCGGAGAAAAGCCCTTAACATGCCGTGTCGCCCCCGCGATATGTTTACTAATTCCTCGCGAACATATGGCCAGAATATCGTGCACTATAGTGGAGAGAGTAGCTCAGCAACATGAGAGGGGCGCTCCGTGCTCATGTACCGATCAAAACGAAATTGTACCACGCAAAATCAGAGCTTGCGTGCTCTGCGAAAAGGTGACTGGATTTTGTTGTGGTCTACAGAAATTCATTACTTCATTAAACTTGAATTTTGGAAACAGAAATGGAACAAAATGTTGATTAATTTCTTTCTTTTTCAGACAGTGTTAACCATGTAATCGTTCATTTTTTTTGCCATTCTGTTTATTTAGGGCGCAGATTCCAACTGCGCGTGTGCACTTCAAAATGTGAGGATTTCCACGTTGGGATGAACAATCCGCTAAACACATACACAAGTCTAGTCAAAAAAAGGGGACCCAGACCCAAAGAAATATATCTCATACATTTGTATTTAAAACAAATATGTAGCACCAAAAATAGTTATGACTGGTAAGCCAATTTAATAAAGTACTTTTAGATTACTTCAATTACTCAGAATATATCACCGTTCAAAATATATCACCATTTAAACGAAATGATCCTAAAATCTGTTTCGTTCTAAAATACGATTTCAAGAATTATCGCTACAATTGTCTTCAAACATCACCAGCGATAAAACCTCAGTTTAAAAGTTTAAAATATTCAACAAAGTCATTTTGAAGGACCGTCTTTAAAAAAAAAAAATGGATTTTATTTGTACAAATTCTATTGTTAGCCAAAGCAGGGTTGTTAATAAACACATTGTGTACCACAGTTGTTGAAACAAGTATTATGTGTCATTTTCTTTATTGGTCGAAACAGTAAAAATACCCTATAAATTGCTTTTTTGGACGAAACTTATTTTAGAGTTACTTCGGTTAAATAGTGATACAATTTTAACGTGTAGAGCAATTGAAATAATTTTCTCACTTAAACGTATAGTTTAATAAATGGGCTTCCAACTCATAATTAATTTTGGTGCAACATATCTTTTTAAATGAAGTATATTTCTTTGTTTTGGGGTACTGCTTTATTTACTCGCCCTGTATATAGTGTACCAACAAACTTAAAGAAAATTTCATGATCTGCAAAGAGTAAGAACAAAATTCCAAACAGTTGGACTGCACTGCACAGTATTTTTAATTCCCCAACTGAAAACTATTTTCTCATCATCTTTCAGAAGGCATAAAAGCAGGTGGTCAATTGGCTACCACCGGCCTTAGACTTGTGTAACTTTATCAGCTGTGTTTACCCCGATGTAATTAAAATGTATACAGTTTCATTCGAACGAGATATAAAGGCTGCCAATGTATTGACACATTATGTATCTGTTTGCAATATATAATGAAGCACATATGGATGCCGTTGTCTTTTATGTTATTCTGTTCTATCATTGGATTTCAGGCAGCATAAGCACGCATTGATCTTTAGAAACATCCGGCTATCACGTGTCTCAACAAAGCCAAATTATGAAGGGAAAAAAAGGCAGAAAAAATTATTGCTGCTTATCGCGAGCACAGGCGGAAGCGATCGAAGCCAGAAGCCAACATCGGCATTGATAAAAGGAATGATATTTGTTTATTTTCTTTTAATATTAATACTGCCTTGTGCCATCTGGAAGGAATATAGTAGATAGAGTCGGATGTATCATCAGGCAGAAAAAAGTCCGTGCTGCATGTGCTGTGTACTGAGCGCTTCTCCGGCTGGCCAAGGTCGTGGGTTCACATCCAAGCAAAGCCACTTTTTCCCGATATAATTATAATTATTGCCGTATGGATCTTTCGTTTGAGTACAATTTTTGCAATTGATGAGTAAATATTTATATCCCAGCGACAACCAGGCTGCTCCAGTTTCCGACGAAAAGCCGCGCGGCGAAATGGGTAGATCTTCTTGAAGGAGAAATTTGGCTAAAATGTTGTTTTTGAAGAAAAGACTAGCGGTACTCCATTTTGTGTTTTCTTGACACTAATGGCTTCCTGCAGTCAACTTGAGGGTTTATGTGTCTCCCACCAGACATTTGAGGCAAGTATCCGAACCAGGTCAGGGGGAAAGATTGCACTACCGACACGAGGTCTAACAGATGACATTTGAATGTTTTCGTGTCAAACCAAAATGCATTCGATTTTAGGAGATTCTATGAGTTAACAAGCTCGATCGAATCTCGGAAGCTGCGGGCCAACGAATGCGTGTTCACGCACAAGTCACGTGAGTGTGCAATGTTATTTCTGGAAGGAGTAGTGTTTTTAGTTTTAAAAAATAGGTTTTTGACCCCAGTGACCCCATGATGACATTTGACCCCAGTTTTGGTCATGTGACATGTTGGGGCTGGGCTACTGATACTTTTGACAAAGTTTGGTTGAAATCGGTCAAAATGTGTAGGAGCAATAGACAATGTCAACGTTTGTTACTAACTAACTAACTAACTAACTAACTTACTGAGAGACGTTATGATTTGTTGAGCTGCTAAAAGGGCCGTCATGTAGGCACCGAAGCACTTTTTGCAATTTAATTATATTTCAATTCAATTCAATTTAGTTTCATTTATTGGTCCTTTTAAAGGAGATTTGTCTTATGATATGCAATACATAGATTGATAAAAAATTAAATTGAATAGATTTCAGTTAATAAAATAGACAAATAAAAATATAATTAAAGTTACCATATCAATTACATAACGCTATCGAAATAACGACAGAAGCAAAACGTCATAGAAACTGAAGGCTGTTCTAGCTTACCAGATGAGGATGAGACAGTAAAATATCAGAAATAAATATTGCATATTTCAATATTTCCACGCTTCCGGCCCATCAAGACAAAGAAGTTATGAGTGTAAATGTTATAAAGTCAACTAAACGGTTCCCAAAATATGCACCTTTATGAATTTTAATGCGCTCATAATCTTGTCGACTAAGATTCCTAAAATCCCTGCTCTCGTGATTTTTAGAGCTGTACGCCAAAAAGCCTTTGGCGCACCGTCTATTTATTGAAAAGTTCTTAAACTAATGTATGCAATAGAAACATTATTAAAAAGGAAATATGTACATGCATTGTGTGGTTAAAATTGCAAAATCTGCAAATTGACTCGGCG